CTATTTGTGTATATATAAAAGGCAATGAATGAGTTATACCTTATAGGCTACGATATTATACACGAATGAATAAGCACAGCGCTATCGCCAATCAAACAGCCGCGTTGCCGTCTGTGCGTCTCTGTCTCTCAAAAACCAAACCAGCTCTCTGTCAAGAGTAGGCTAATAATCAACTTAAATACAGATACATTTTGTACTAGGCCTACATGTTTTCTTCCTTATCTTTTGCTGGTTTGCGTGGCACACGCACATTTGTTTAGTGAAGTTCAAAAAAGACTCGTTTAAAGAGTTCTGCATAATGAATTTGTGTACCTTGAATTCATTCAGTCGTGTTCAAATGATCACTAAATGTTTGTCATGAAATCTTCCTACTTGTACGATAAAAGTAATAAGTACGATCTTCCTACCCCCCATAGGCTACTTTTCCAGACCTGCAAGTTAGGCCTACTTAAGTGAAATCCTTTTTTAAACTGCGCAGGAACCGGTGAGCCAAAGGAAATCATGTTGTTTTACATAAATCTCTAAAATTACAACGCAGTAACAAGTGTGAAAAAGCTAAATGAGTTTATGAATGAAATAAGCGCAAATAAAATAGCAGTGTTGCAGTTGCACAACCGCACTGAATCTCGAAGCACTGCCTATACAAGGATATCGGCTCCGACTGTTAGAAGATATTTAAATAAATGTTATAATCATAAAATAATAATTATTTTAGTTAAACACGGCATGTTTGTTCAGTGATAACTACGAAAAAAGATCTGTAAAACCATAAACATAATGGTCTTATCAAATATAAATATAAATGTACGTAGTTCTGGTTCAAGCTCCGCCTACTTCCGAATACAGATACAGATACGAATAATTTTGTGATTGTTAGATTGTTACAGCACTTGTAGCAGTAATACCAGCATATTGGCAAAACAGATTTGGCAAATGTTCCAGTGCATAATTGTGATTACACTCTGGAGAGTGTGGAAGGTTTCTGTTTAAAGGGGTCATGTGATGTTGCTAAAAAGAACATTATTTTGTGTATTTGGTGTAATGAAATGTGTTTATGTGGTTTAAGGTTCAAAAAGAACATTATTTTCCACATACTGTACATTGTTTCTCCTCTATGCCCCGCCTTTCTGAAATGCGTCGATTTTTACAAAGCTCATCCGTTGCATTGCATAGCGTCCGCGTAAACATAAAACCATGTCTGCATTTGTGATCGGAGAAATGACAAACAACAAACGCTACTCTACACTGCTCAAAACTCGCGTTTGAATCGTCAGTGGCAAATATATTTTTATCTTTAAATATAAAAAACGTACTTACAGTCTGTGAGTCAGAACAGCTAAAATAGTGACAGTGAGAGTTGTTTTAGGCCATTTCCATGCCTGAATTAAACGGTGGTGATCCACTATGCGGAGCAGCTATTTTTATTTATTTATTATATAGTGTTCATTATTATAACTATAGTTAGTAACCATGTGTTACAGTGGCTTTTGTGTGCATTTTCTTTATCTTCTTTTTTTTTAATGTAAAATATAACACATAACATATATAACACTGAAAATCCCATAGATATATAACTCTTTAGTCTGAAGTGGGTGACATCACAGTACATTTGAAATTTGTCCATAATTAGCACTCTAATTCACTCTAATTAGCACTTATCTAGACTTTCACTATGCTGTAAACTATTACAGGTCAATAAAACAATAGCTTAACCAAAATTAAAATTAGAATAGATAAAATAGGTGATATTAATCGTCTCTATATCTGGTGGCAGCAGGCCATTACCATACCTGAGTTAAAGCTGGTGCTCGCCTGGACAGAACAGCCCATTTTTATTCATTTCCATGAGTAATATTAGTTATCTACTCTGCCATGAGCTCTTTGAGGACAGCTCATTCAACAGAGAGAGAGGTGGGGTGGAGCTCTGTTTATACAGTGAGTCATGATAAATGAGAGTCATCCAGACTAATGCCTTCACAGCAGAGACAGACTTGAGCACAAAAAAGAGCAGATCAAACAGATCTGGAGTCATGGAGATGCATGGTAGTGGTAAAATCTCTAAAAATATATTTAATTATTTCTTAAAATAACGGACCCTTTCTTATTGCAGTATCTTAATATCAGTAATATTCTGATTTTTTACACAGTACTTTATTCTGATTGGTCAACAGTGGTCAAATATTTCAATATAACGACCCCCAAACTGAATAATTGTCCCAAAAAACTGATTTCATACTGCTAGTATGTCTCTTTTATCTCTCTGCAGTCATTTTCTTCTGAAATAATAAAATAATATCAGTGTCAATCGATTTTTCATGTCAATTTATTTCAATTTTCCCTGAGTTCTGGTAACCATCTTAGGGTTTATTTTATGATAATAATTCACAAACATGCAATTCGCAGGAACAAAGTTTCATAATATCTGTTCTTGAGAAAATTAATTATCCGCCCCCCCACCCCAC